TAGATGGTGAGTTAGCCTTCAGACCATTTGACTTACTGTTGTGGTGACTGTACTAGATGGTGATTGTACTAGATGGTGACACTGTTGTGGTATTTCAGCCACTAGATGGTGATGACACTGTTGTGGTGATTGGCACTAGATGGTGACACTGTTGTGGTGACTGTACTAGATGGTGACACTGTTGTGGTGATTGTACTAGATGGTGACACTGTTGTGGTGACTGTACTAGATGGTGACACTGTTGTGGTGACTGTACTAGATGGTGACTGTTGTGGTGACTGTACTAGATGGTGACACTGCTGTGGTGACTGTACTAGATGGTGACACTGTTGTGGTGACTGTGTACTAGATGGTGACATATTGTGGTGACTGTACTGGATGATGACACTGTTGAGGTGACTGTATGCTGGATGGTGACACTGTTGTGTTCGACTGTACTGGATGGTGACACTGTTGTGGTGACTGTACTAGATGTTGACACTGTTGTGGTGATTGTACTAATGGTGACACTGTTGTGGTGACTGTACTAGATGGTGACTTGCACTGTTGTGGTGACTGTACTAGATGGGTGACACTGTTGTGGTGACTGTACTAGATGGTGACACTGCTGTGGTGAACTGTACTATAGATAAGGTGACACTGTTGTGGTGACTGTATACTGAATGGTGACACTGTTGTGGTGACTGTACTGGATGGTGACACTGTTGTGGTGACTGTACTAGATGTTTTCTGTGGTGACTGTACTAGATGGTAGTACTGTTGTGGTGACTGTGGCACTAGATGGTGACACTGCTGTTGGTGACTGTACTAGATGGTGACACTGTTGTGGTGACTGTACTAGATGGTGACACTGTTGTGGTGACTGTACTAGATGGTGACACTGTTGTGGTGACTGTGTACTGGATGGTGACACTGTTGTGGTGACTGTACTAGATGGTGACACTGTTGTGTTGACTGTACTAGATGGTGACACTGTTGTGATGACTGTACTAGATGGTGACACTGTTGTAGTGACTGTACTAGATGGTGACACTGTTGTGGTATTTGTGCTAGATGGTGACACTGTTGTGAGGTGACTGTACTAGATGGTGACACTGTTGTGATGACTGTACTAGATGGTGACACTGTTGTGGTGACTGTACTAGATGGTGACACTGTTGTGGTGACTGTGCTAGATGGTGACACTGTTGGTGACTGTACTAGATGGTGACACTGTTGTGGTGAACTGTACTAGATGGTGACTTGCTGTTGTGGTGACTGTGCTAGATGTTGACACTGTTGTGATGACTGTATGCTAGATGGTGACACTGTGTTGTAGTGACTGTGCTAGATGGTGTTTACTGTTGTGGTGACTGTTACTAGATGGTGACACTGTTGTAGTGACCGTACTAGATGAGGCGACACTGTTGTGGTGACTGTACTAGATGGTGACACTGTTGTGATGACTGTACTAGATGGTGACACTGTTGTAGTGACTGTACTAGATGGTGACATGTTGTGGTGACTGTGCTAGATGGTGACACTGTTGTAGTGACTGTACTAAGATGGTGACACTGTTGTGGTGACTGTACTAGATGGTGACACTGTTGTGATATTTAATACTAGATACGTTGACACTGTTTGTAGTGACTGTGCTAGATGGTGACACTTGCCTGTTGGTGACTGTACTAGATGGTGATGACACTGTTGCATGGTGACTGTGCTAGATGGTGACACTGGTGTGGTGACTGTACTAGATGGTGACACATTGTGATGGCTATGCTGGATGGTGACACTGTTGTGGTGACTGTACTAGATGGGTGACACTGTTGTGGTGGAGTGTACTAGATGGTGACACTGTTGTGATGACTGTGCTAGATGGTGACTGTTGTGACTGTACTAGATGGTGACACTGTTGTGGTGACTGTGCTAGATGGTGACACTGTTGTGGTGACTGTATGCTAGATGGTGACACTGTTGTGATGGCTGTACTAAGATGGTGACACTGTTGTGGTGACTGTACTAGATGGTATTGACACTGTTGTGGTGACTGTACTAGATGGTGACACTGTTTGGTGACTGTGCTAGATGGTGACTTGCAGGTATGGTGACTGTATGCTAGATGGTGACACTGTTGTGGTGATTGTACTAGATGGTGACACTGTTGTGGTGACTGTGCTAGATATTAATTTGACACTGTTGTGGTGACTGTGCTAGATGGTGACACTGTTGTGGTGACTGTGCTAGATGGTGACACTGTTGGTGACTGTGCTAGATGGTGACACTGTTGTGGTGACTGTACTAGATGGTGACTTGCTGTTGTGGTGACTGTGCTAGATGGTGACACTGTTGTGGTGACTGGCACTAGATGAGTGACACTGTTGTGGTGACTGTACTAGATGGTGACTGTTGTGGTGACTGTACTAGATGGTGACACTGTTGTGAGTGACTGTACTAGATGGTGACACTGTTGTGGTGACTGTACTAGATGGTGACACTGTTGTGATGACTATGCCTAGATGGTGACACTGTTGTGGTGACTGTACTAGATGTTGACACTGTTGTGGTGATTGTACTAGATGGTGACACTGTTGTGGTGACTGTACTAGATGGTGACACTGTTGTGGTGAAGCTGTACTAGATGGTGACACTGTTGTGGTGACTGTACTAGATGAGCTGACACTGTTGTGGTGATTGTACTAGATGGTGACACTGTTGTGGTGATTGTACTAGATGGTGACACTGTTGTGGTGACATGCTAGATGGTGACACTGTTGTTGTGGTGACTGTACTAGATGGTGACACTTGTGGTGATTGTACTGGATGGTGACACTGTTGTGATGACTGTACTAGATGGTGACACTGTTGTGGTGACTGTACTAGATGGTGACTGTTGTGGTGACTGTACTAGATGGTGACACTGTTTGTGGTGACTGTGCTAGATGGTGACACTGTTGTGGTGATTGTACTAGATGGTGACACTGTTGTGGTGATTGTACTAGATGGTGACACTGTTGTGGTGACTGTACTAGATGGTGACACCGCTGTGGTGATTATGCCAAATGGTGTTGACACTGTTGTGGTGAGATGGCACTAGATGGTGACACTGTTGTGGTGACTGTACTGGATGGTGACACTGTTGTGGTGACTGTACTAGATGGTGACACTGTTGTGATGATTGTGCCTAGATGGTGACACTGTTGTGGTGAGTTAATGCTAGATGGTGACACTGTTGTGGTGACTGTACTACATGGTGACACTGTTGTGGTGACTGTACTAGATGGTGACACTGTTGTGGTGACTGTACTAGATGGTGATTGTATATAGATGGTGACACTGTTGTGGTGACTGTGCTAGATGGTATTTGCTGTTGTGGTGATTGTACTAGATGGTGACGCACTGTTGTGGTGATTGTACTAGATGGTGACACTGTTGTGGTGACTGTACTAGATGTTGACACTGTTGTGGTGACTGTACTAGATGTGACACTGTTGTGGTGATTAATGCTAGATGGTGACACTGATGTGGTGATTGTACTAGATATGGTGACGCACTGTTGTGGTGACTGTATGCTAGATGGTGACACTGTTGTGGTGACTTCTTGCTAGATGGTGACACTGTTGTGGTGACTGTACTAGATGGTGACTGACTTACTGTTGTGGTGATTGTACTAGATATGGTGACACTGTTGTGGTGATTGTGCTAGATGGTGACACTGTTGTGGTGACTTCGCTAGATGGTGACTTGCTGTTGTGGTGACTGTACTAGATGGTGACACTGTTGTGGTGACTGTACTAGATGGTGACACTCTGTTGTGGTGATTGTACTAGATGGTGACACTGTTGTGGTGATTGTACTAGATGGTGACACTGTTGTGGTGATTGTACTAGATGGTTTGACACTGTTGTGGTGACTGTACTAGATGGTGACACTGTTGTGGTGACTGTATAGATGGGTGACACTGTTGTGGTGACTGTACTAGATGGTGACACTGTTGTGGTGATTTAATGCTAGATGGTGACACTGTTGTGGTGATTGTACTAGATGGTGACACTGTTGTGGTGACTGTACTAGATATGGTGACACTGTTGTGAGTGACTGTACTAGATGGTGACACACTGTTGTGGTGATTATGCCTAGATAGTGACACTGTTGTGGTGATTGTGCTAGATGTTGACACTGTTGTGGTGACTGTGCTAGATGTAAGTGACACTGTTGTGGTCGACTGTGTACTAGATGGTGACACTGTTGTGGTGAAGAAACTGTACTAGATGGTGACTTGCTGTTGTGGCTGGAGTTGGCACTAGATGGTGACACTGTTGTGGTGATTGTGCTAGATGGTGACACTGTTGTGGTGACTGTACTAGATGGTGACACTGATGTGGTGACTGTACTAGATGGTGACACTGTTGTGTGGTGACTGTACTAGATGGTGACACACTGTTGTGGTGACTGTACTAGATGGTGACACTGTTGTGGTGATTGTACTAGATGGTGACACTGTTGTGGTGATTGTACTAGATGGTGACACTTTCTGTTGTGAGTGACTGTGCTAGATGGTGACACTGTTGTGGTGACTGTACTAGATGGTGACATGATGTGGTGACTGTATAGATGGTGACACTGTTGTTGGTGACTGTACTAGATGGTGACACTGTTGTGGTGACTGTACTAGATGGTGACACTGTTTGTGGTGACTGTACTAGATGGTGACACTGTTGTGGTGATTGTACTAGATGGTGACACTGTTGTGGTGATTGGGGGAGCGAGACAGGTAGTGGTTCTGCTATATTAAGTGATAACACTGTGGTAGGTGGTATGCCTTGCTGTGGTAGGTGGGTGAATCTGTGGTAGGTGGTGAAACTGTGGTAGATGGGTGAATCTGTGGTAGGTGATAAAGCTGCGGTAGGTGGTACACCTTGCTGTGGTGGGGTAAGGCCAAGTGAGTGTTAAAGGTAGATGATAACAGTAGTGACACGGGAGGGTGTACTTAGGGCCACAAGAGGTAGACGACAACTTACCGGCAGCTTGGTGAAGGGCTTCTTGCCAGGGACGTGATGAGGAGGGTGGTCGTGACGCGTGGCCATCCTGCTGGTGCTGGGGGCGTGGCACCAACACCTGGGTGGTGGGGCCTAGTGACTCGCCCACCACCACGATACTTCACTCCACTACCACACACCACACAGCTTCACATGAGCGTGTGGTGTGGTACACGAGCTACACTGGGGCTGTGTGCCTACACTGGCCACCACCTGCCTGCTGGGGGAGTGGCACCACCAGGCTACACACACACACAAACACTGGGAGCCTCACCTGAGACTCGGGATGGAGGGAACACTATAGCTACACTAAGGCGAGGAGGCTCTACTAACAGTGTGTGCCTGAAGCCACTCACTGACACATCACTGGCTACCGTGGCACCACCAGGCTTGACCACCGCCTGCTGCACAAGTGAAGGCCCGGCTGGTGCGGTAAGGCCCACCACCTGACTCAGTGGGGCTGAGGCAGGGGCGCCGCCAACCTCATGCCCCGCCGATCTACACTGGGCCCCGCCACCACAATCCTGCTGCTGCTGCTTCTGTTGCACCGCTCGCCGCTACACCTACCTCCCGCACCCGCTCATCGCCACACACCCTTTCTCACTAACGACATGTGGCCTGCGCGACTGCCAGCCAGGCACTGACGGCCGCCCTCCAACACCACCCCCGCACTGACGTCACTGTCACGTACACCCTGCCCCGCCCACCACACCCACCCACCACCACCCGCAACCCTCACAACAACACTGTATTATGTCGTACACCACCCACCTACCCACCCACCCACCCATCACCATGCACCTATACGCCTGCCGCACCCACCCACCCACCCATCACCATACACCTATACGCCTGCCGCACCTACCCACCCACCCATCACCATGCACCTATGCCTGCCGCACCTACCCACCCACCCATCACCATACACCTATACGCCTGCCGCACCTACCCACCCACCCATCACCATACACCTATACGCCTGCCGCACCTACCCACCCACCCATCACCATACACCCATACGCCTGCCGAACCTACCCACCCACCCATACCATGCACCCATACGCCACACCCACCACCCACCCATTACCATGCACCTATACGCCTGCCGCACCTACCCACCCACCCATTACCATGCACCTATACGCCTGCCACACCACCACCCACCCATCACCATACACCTATACGCCTGCTGCACCTACCACCCACCCATTACCATGCACCTATACGCCTGCCGCACCTACCCACCACCCATTACCATGCACCTATACGCCAGCCGCACCTACCATTACCATGCACCTATACGCCTGCCGCACCTACCACCCACCCATCACCATACACCTATACGCCTGCACCTACCCACCCACCTCCTTCACAACAACCCACACCCTACTCCACCCTTCTTCTCCACCTTAATCCTCCTCCTCCCCTCCCCACCCCCACTGCTTCAATTTCCTACCTATTAATTATACCTTTCCCTCTAATCTACCTACCACCCATCAATCACCACCATTCAGCACCCCATCACCCATCTAGCACCCCATCACCCATCTAGCACCCCATCACCCATCTACCCATCAATCTAGCAGATCGCGTGAGGATAAGGCACACCAGTTTATTTCACTTGAGGAGTAAAACACCCAAGCACCAACCTAACACCAACCCAACATAACCTAACACTAACCCAACATAACCTAACACTAACCCAACACAAACCCAATCTAACCCAACACCAACCTAACACTAACCTAATCTAACCTAACACTAACCTAATCTAAACTAATCTAACCTAACATAACCTAACACTAACCTAACATAACCTAACACTAACCTAATCTAACCTAACACTAACCTAACACTAACCTAACACTAACCTAATCTAACCTAACACTAACCTAATCTAACCTAACACTAACCTAATCTAACCTAATCTAACCTAACATAACCTAACACTAACCTAACATAACCTAACACTAACCTAATCTAACCTAACACTAACCTAACACTAACCTAATCTAACCTAACACTAACCTAACACTAACCTAATCTAACCTAACACTAACCTAACACTAACCTAATCTAACCTAACACTAACCTAACACTAACGTAACCTAACCCCCAAAGTAGCGTTAAGTGTTGTTTAATCAATAGGTTTAAATAAGCTGGGGTGCCTAATATTCACGTGATTTTTTTTAATGCACAAGAATTTTGGTGGCGGTGGACGTGACAGTGTAGCCAGATAATGTGGCCTATAGACCTAAAGTAAGCCAGATAATGTGGCCTATAGACCTAAAGTAAGCCAGATAATGTGACCTACAGTAAGCCAGATAATGTGGCCTATAGACCTACAGTAAGCCAGATAATGTGGCCTATAGACCTACAGTAATACACAAGATAGCTCCAAACTAGTCACCCAGAGCGGTGCCTTCACGTAACACAGGCTGAGAGACGTATACAGTATCCCTATGGTCTGGCTGGGTATTAGTGTGACCAGAGCCAAAGAAAATGCTCAAGGTGGCGTCCCCGAAGTGAAGGTGTTAGCCGAGATAATAAGATAACCTGATGGGAATGTGGTTAGGTTATCTACAGCCCATGACGACCTGGTGTGTGTGTGAGGGAGAGAGGTAGACAGCCCCTCCCTCCCTCCCCTCACAGATACTCACACACTCTGCTGGTTTGTCACATTCCTCTTGACACGTTATTGATATATTGTGATATTCATAAACACAAAATTTCGTTAATAACCCATCCCTAATTTTTACACACACACACACACACATACATACACACACACACACACACAAGAAGGATAATAACCACCACGCCACAGAACCAAACTTGCTAGTCATTATGATCCTTTAATAGATAACTTTATAAATAAGGAAACAATTAAATCCAGGTGTGTGTGTGTGTGTGTGTGTGTACTGTGTGTGTGTGTGTACTGGGTGTGGGTGTATACTGTGTGTGTGTGTGTACTGGGTGTGGGTGTGTGTATGCGTGTGTGTTGACCTGTGGTGTAATGTTCAGCATCCTCGCCTCACAAGTGAGCGGACCAGAGTTCGATCCACGGATCGATTTGCGCATCGTATTCCGGGGTAATGGTTAGCCAGTGTAGTTGGTGAGTTGTCCGGTCTTCTCGGACTATTCCTTGACACTGGGTCGTGCAGCTCGTTAACTCAGGGTGTGGTTGTGTTTGCGACAGCTTCTACACCTTAAACAAATTCACGCCTTGGTGGTTCTTGGGCCGACCATCCTCGATTTCAAGGGGCGACCATTATTATTATTATTATTATTATTATTATTGTGGGTGGGTGGGTGGGTGGGTGGGTGATGAATACTGTCTGGAAAGCTTTATTAGAGAGGCCAAAATAGTTGTCCAATATTTCTTCATCGAGGCAGAGTTTTAGCTGGTCCACCTACCCCGCTGTGTACCTAAATGCTGAAGTTGTTTGTACAGGAGGAGACACGTTCAGGTTTGGTACTTCAATAATTTGCTCTTCATCAATGGCGCCATGACAAACATTCACAGTTGACACTACTGAATTTTTGGTCACACAGACACGCTATTAACGCCTCATGTACACCCTCCCCCAAAACACACAAAAGTGCACACACACACACACACACACACACACACACACTTGTATACAGTATATGGGCTTGCTCGATGAGGTGTACACACAAGTGACAATAATATGCAGTACAGTGACTCTCAGTAGTAGGTTGCCCTTGAGGAACGGCCCGCGTCCTGCAACAATACGTGATGTGTGTGTGTGGACGTGTTAGTAACTGTCTGTCTGTACAGTTGTGGTTGTCATAACGGCGTGTACACCATTACTCATGACGCCGCCACTACTGTACTGTACTACTGGACGGTGATTTAAAATGACACTTCTCGCAGCTGTTGTGTTAATTAATGATGGTCTATTTCTCTTTCTCTCCACACACACGTTAGATCATATTCCAGCACCAACAGTACAGACGGAGGATGAGTAGGGAGGGGAAGGGGAGAGCGGGAAAGGGGGAGGAGGGGAAGGGGGAGGAGGGGAAAGGATGAGGGGGAAGGGAGAGGGGAAGGGGAGGAGGGGAAGGGGGAGGAGGAAGGGAGGGGGAAGGAGGGAGGCAGGGGGATGACGTGGGCTAGCAGGCCGGCAGCGCTCACAGCGGCAACGCTGCCTGACTCTCCATCCCCTATCCCTTGATTACATCTCTGGACCTCACCCTGCGACCTCCTCCCCCCCCGAGCCTTCAAGGCGCCAGTACAGCCAAAGGAGGAGGGTCGGGGAGGGGGGCGGAGGCAGCTCAGGGAGGAGGGCGAGCGTGAGAGTGAGGAGAGGGGGTGGAGGGTGGACGTCAGCTGATCTAGCTTGACAGTCAGCTGATCTCCAGGCAAGACCCCTCCCACTCCATCACCTTTACTGTTTGTTCTTCACGCCCTCAACTCCACCCAACACCTCCTTATACGCCCTTAACTCCGCCTCACGCCCTCACCTCCGCCTCACGCCCTCAACTCCACCCAACACCTCCTTATACGCCCTTAACTCCGCCTCACGCCCTCACCTCTACCCCACGCCCTTGCCTATAGTTCCTCCAGGCCTCCATGCACGCCCTCAACTCCACGCCCTTATCTACTGCATACCCCCACGCTCCCCTGCGCATCCCCGTCCACAACCCACGCCTCACAGTACGCCCTCACACGTCCACTCCACGCCTCACAGTACGCCCTCACACGTCCACTCCACGCCTCACAGTACGCCCTCACACGTCCACCCACGCCTCACAGTACGCCCTCAATGTCCACCCACGCCCTCACAATACGCCCCTCACACGTCCACCCACGCCCACAGGACGCCCCACACGTCCACCCACGCCCCAGTACGCCCTCACACGTCCACCTTACCCCTACAGTACGCCCTCACACGTCCACTCCACGTCTACAGTATGCCCTCACACGTCCACTCCACGCCTCACAGTACGCCCTCACACGTCCACTCCACGCCCTCACAGTACGCCCCTCACACGTCCACTCCACGCCCTCACAGCACACGCCCCTCACGTCCACCCACGCCTCAGTACGTCTCACACGTCCACTCCACGTCTCACAGTACGCCCTCACACGTCCACTCCACGTCTCACAGTACGCCCTCACACGTCCACTCCACGCCTCACAGTACGCCCTCACACGCCCACTCCACGCCTCACAGTACGCCCTCACAGTACGCCCTCACACGCCCACCCCATACCTTCCTACGCGCCCTCACCTTTATTAAGCGCCCCCCTCAGACCCATACACAATGCCCTACGGTGCCCCACGGTGTCTCGTGTCGTCTAATACTGTACAACATTACGCCAGGATTCCTTAACTATCCCAAGAGAATACCAACATGTTAAGTCTATGCCCTTGAGTCCTTGATCGCCACAGTGTCCCAGGTCGATATAAAGCGATAACATAGTGACTCAGGGTGACTCGGGGTGACTCAGATGAACCAGGATAGACCAGAACGATCCAGTGTAGCCCAAGATGACCCATAGTGACTCGGGGTGACTCAGATGAACCAGGATAGGCCAGAACGATCCAGTGTAGCCCACGATGACCCATGGTGACTCAGATGAACCAGGATAGACCAGAACGATCCAGTGTAGCCCAAGATGACCCATAGTGACTCGGGGTGACTCAGATGAACCAGGATAGACCAGAACGATCCAGTGTAGCCCAAGATGACCCATAGTGACTCGGGGTGACTCAGATGAACCAGGATAGACCAGAAATGATCTCAGTGTAGCCCACGATGACCCACAGTGACTCGGGGTGACCCAGATGAACCAGGATAGACCAGAAACGATCCAGTGTAGCCCAAGATGACCCATAGTGACCTCGGGGGTGACTCAGATGAACCAGGATAGACCAGAACGATCCAGTGTAGCCCAAGATGACCCATAGTGACTCGGGGTGACTCAGATGAACCAGGATAGACCAGAACGATCCAGTGTAGCCCAAGATGACCCATAGTGACTCGGGGTGACTCAGATGAACCAGGATAGACCAGAACGATCCAGTGTAGCCCAAGATGACCCATAGTGACTCGGGGTGACTCAGATGAACCAGGATAGACCAGAACGATCCAGTGTAGCCCAAGATGACCCATAGTGACTCGGGGTGACTCAGATGAACCAGGATAGACCAGAACGATCAGTGTGGCCAAGATGACCCATAGTGACTCAGGGTGTCCAAGATGTGAACCAGGATAGACCAGAACGATCCAGTGTAGCCCACGATGACTGAGAGCTGACTCGAATGAACCAGAATAGACCAGAACGATTCAGTGTAGCCGATGACCATAGTGACTCAGATGAACCAGGATAGACCAGAACGTCAGTGCTGGCGATGACCCTGGTGACTCCACAGGGTGACTCAGATGAACCAGGATGAACCAGAACGATCCAGTGTAGCCCACGATGACCAATAGTGACTCGGGGTGACTCCAGATGAACCAGGATAGACCAGAACGATCCGGTTGTATTGAATGTTATAGTGACTCCGGGGTGACTCAGATGAACCAGGATAGACCAGAACGATCAGTGTAAGATATTATAATGACTCGGGGTGACTCAGATGAACCAGGATAGACCAGAGCGATCCGGTGTAGCCCACGATGACCCATAGTGACTCCGGGGTGAGCTCCAGATGAACAGGATAGACCAGAACGATCAGTGTGGCACGATGACCCATGGCGGGGTGACTCCAGATGAACCAGGATAGACCAGAACGATCCAGTGTGGCCCAAGATGACCCATAGTGACTCAGGGGTGGCTCAGATGAACCAGGATGAGCCAGAGACGATCCAGTGTGGCCAAGATGACCCCATAGTGACTCAGGGGTGACTCAGGGCAGACAGGATGAGCCAGAACGATCCGAGTGTGGCCCACGACCCTTAGTGACTCAGGGTGACTCAGATGAACCGAGATGAACCAGAACGATCAGTGTAGCCCAAGATGACCCATAGTGACTCGGGGTGACTCAGATGAACCAGGATGGAGCCAGAACGATCCAGTGCTTAGCCCACGATGGCCCATAGTGGCTCAGGGGTGACTCAGAATGAACCAGGATAGACCAGAACGATCGTCCAGTGTAGCCCACGATGGCCCATAGTGACTCGGGGTGACTCAGATGAACCAGGATGGTAGAACGATCCAGTGTAGCCCAAGATGACCCATAGTGATAAGGGGTGACTCAGATGACCAGGATAGACCAGAACGATCCAGTGTAGCCCAAGATGACCCGCCGAGTGACTCCGGGGTGACTCAGATGAACCAGGATAGACCAGAACGATCAGTGTAGCCCAAGATGACCCATAGTGACTCATATGAACCAGGATAGACCAGAACGATCCAGTGCTTGGCTGATGACCCATAGTGACTTTCAGGGTGACTCAGTTGAACCAGGATAGACCAGAACGATCCAGTGTAGCCCACGATGACCCGCGTGACTCAGGGTGAAGCTCCAGTGAACCAGGATAGACCAGAACGATCCGAGTGTAGCCCAAGATATGGCCCATAGTGACTCGGGGTGGCTCAGATGAACCAGGATAGACCAGAACGATCCAATTATAGCGGCCCGATGACCCATAGTGACTCAGATGAACCAGAATGAACTGAACGATCGGTACAGCCCCACGATGACCCATAGTGACTCAGATGAACCAGGATAGACCAGAACAATCCAGTGTGGCCCACGATGACCCGCAAGTGACTCCGGATGAACCGGGATGAGCCAGAACGATCCGAGTGTAGCCCACGATGACCCGCAAGTGACTCAGATGAACCAGGATAGACCAGAACGATCCAGTGTGGCCAAGATGACCCATAGTGACTCAGATGAACTGGATAGACCAGAACGATCCAGTGTAGCCCAAGATGACCCCATGGTGGTGGGCCAGGGTGACCGCCAGCCCGACACTGCGTCGTCATCCACTCACACCAGCTGATCTTTGTTTACCTTCACCACAATCATGCCTACCTCCCCTCCCCCCTACCTCCTCCCCTCCCCCTCCCCCTCCCCTCCCTCCTGCCTCCCCCTACCCACCTCCTCACTCCTTCCCTCCCCCCTCCCTACCCCTCAACCCCACAGCCTCTCCTTCACTTACTCCCCACCCACCTTAAACTCCCCCCCTTGTCCCTCTCATCCCCACTCCATTCCACCTCTCTTCCTCCCACCACCCCTACTTCACCTTCCTCCGTCCTTCCGCGCCTGTTTCCATCTTCATCACCTCCCTTCCCCCCATGTCCTCCTATCCTCCTTCTCTCCTACCATTCTTCCCATGACTACTTCCACTCCTCTGCCTCCTCCCATGACTACTTCCTCCCTCCTACCTCTACTCCCATGGCTACTTCCTTCCCTCCTACCATTCTTCCCTTGACTACTTCCCTCCCTCCCTACCTTCTCTCCCATGACTACTTCCCTCCCACCTACCTCCCTCCTCCATGACTAGCCTTCCCTCCTACCATTCTTTGTGACTACTTCCTCCCTCCTACCTTCTCTCCCATATTCACTTCCCTCCCACCTACCTTCTCTCCTAATACCCAACTTCCTCCTCGATTTTCTCTCTCCTTCCTCTCCCCCCACCGTCCTGCGTCCTCTCCTCATCTCTCCAACACACCAATAATCATCTCCAACACACCAATAGTCATCTCCAACAGTTAGCAGGCCACATGTGTCTCTCCAGCTAACAGGTCCCAACCCAATCCTAACCAAACTTAACCCAACTCAACCCTAACCCCTAATATCTAACTTAGCTTGTCAACCTAACCTAATATCCTAGCACTTAGCCCAACTCAGCCTAACACATCTTAACCCCTAATCTAACCCAACCCAATTAATCTATTCAAATGTAACCTAATCTAACCCTAACCCAACATAACACAACAATCAAACCTACCCTAACTTAATTCAACCCTAACCAAACCAAACCTAACCTAACCCAACCCAACCACTAGCACTGGAAGCCATGAGCCACCAGCAGACTCGGCCAGCCGTCACCATCACTAAGCACAACATTCACAGGCGTCAGGCTCCACAAGGTCAATACTTGGGGTCACGTGATTATTAGGCACTCTACCTCACCTGTTGGGTTGGGTTAAGTTTGGCTGGATTAGGTTAAGTTAAGTTTGGCTGGATTAAGTTAGGCTACGTTGAGTTTGGCTGGGTTAGGTTAAAAGTTTGACTGGGTTAGGTTACGTTTGGCTGGATTAGGTTAGATTACGTTAAGTTTGACATGATTAAGTTAGGTTAAGTTTGGTTGGGTTAGGTAAGATGCGGTTAAGTTAGGTTAAGTTTGGCTGGTTTACGTTATGCTAAGTTTGGCTGGGTTGGGTTAGGTTCGTCTAGGTTAGGGTGTTTAATCCTCAAGTGAAAATAAGCTGGGATGCCTACAGTATACTTCACGTGACCCAACACTTTGTAATCTTAGGTGTTCAAACATACTCTCTCTCTCTCTCAAGATGCCCACGGTGCCTTTAAAAACACTAAAGCTGTAGGACTTGGAGTGAATCCTCCTGATGGCACACTCGCGAACTTTATCAAGCTCAGGAGTCATGTGAGCGTCTGACCGGCCGTGAGGGACCGCCAGAGGCTATAGCTGTGAAGGTGAGCGACTGGGCTGGTATAAACACAGATATACAGTATAGTCTTATTTTATTTACAAAAATAATACTAAATACAGAACAAAATTCAGCGAGGAAAAAAACTTGTTAACCAATCGGGAAAATGCAGTCACAGAGCTAACTAAACGCGGCGTCACACCAGCGTTTTTTCCTTCATTTTATTGCGTCAATTTTCTAAAAGTTTTCAATTTTTTGAATTCGCCGTCACACGCGACTGTGTTCTGGGCTCGTCAATTGTAAACAAAGAAAATGGCGTTGTATGCCCCCCCCCCCTGAATCTATCATCCCCGGGTCCCACAGGCAACGATGAGAGCTAATATTGTCTATTGTGTGTTCTTCGGCCAGGCGGGTCCACACAGGAATAGAAGCCGTGAATATGTTGAACACGACTCAAATATCAGATGGATTTAAGAATATCAACATCAATAAAAATATACTAAGGCAGTTTATTGAAAGTGCCAATACTGATCAATTTTAAAATTAATTTCGTTATTTAACGGAGTTCGATATTTATTTTGTATAATTATCCTCATTCTCCGGTATAGATCTTGACTTGACCACAGAAAGTGGTGCAAGTCAGCCAGGCGTAAACGAAACGTTTCGTCTGAGCGAGACGGGCTAGAAAAATGGACATTCGTGGTAAAAACGACGGAAACCGGGAAGTTGACGGAA